AAGACATGCTGTCTTATTGGAGGATGATATGATCGGGGGGGCATGGTAGCGCGAGAAATTAGTTTTGAAGAGAAGCGGGTATACGTGCCCACTCCTATGGTTCAGGCACCATTCTTCACGCTACCCGTTGTTGCTGTACCAACAATGCAAGACACTGTAGTAACAACGGTATTTAAAGTTTGATAGTATAATAAGAAAGTTTGATAGTATAATAAGAAAGTTTGGGTTTCAAGAAAATATAGAGGACAATTGCGTTTATGCAAAGTTCAAGAATGGGAAATGCATTTTCCTAGTCTTGTATGTGGATGACATCTTGCTCGCTAGCAGTGGTGTTAATCTACTACTAGAAACAAAGAAGTTCTTGTCCTCAAAGTTTGATATGAAGGATCTCGGTGAAGCTTCGTTCGTCCTAGGAATAGAGATTCACCGAGATAGACAAAAGGGGGTTTTAGGACTATCACAAAAGACATACTTAGAAAAAGTTCTAAAGAAATATAGTATGCAAAATTGTAAGTCATCACCTGCTCCCATAGTCAAGGGCAACATATATGGAAAATTTCAATGTCCTAGGAACCAATATGAGATCGATCAAATGAAAGCGGTTCCATATAGTTCAGCTATCGGAAGTTTATAGTATGCTCAAGTGTGTACTCGCCCTGACTTAACATTTGTTACCGGATTGCTTGGCAGATATCAGAGTAATCTAGGAATAGAATACTAGAAATTAGTAAAGAAAGTTTTGTGTTACCTGCAAGGTACGAAGGGTCTCATGCTAACGTACAGAAGATCTGATTCCCTGCACATAGAGGGGTACACAGGTTCTGATTATGCGAGAGATGAAAGAAAGTCCACATCAGGGTACACATTCACTCTCGTAGGAGGAGCTATATCGTGGAAAAGTTCAAAGCAAACCGTCACTACATTGTCCACAATGTATGTCGAGTTTGTAGCATGTTATGAGGCCACAGGGTAGGTGAATTGGCTAAAAAAATTTATGCCCGGATTGAAAGTGGCAGACGACATACATAAACCACTTAAGTTATACTACGATAATAATCTAGCAGTATGTTATGCTCACAACAATAAGTCAAGTGGTGCTGCCAAACACGTTGACATAAAGTATTATGTTGTGAACGATAAAGTCTGGGATCATATAATTAGTCCTGAGCATATAAGAACAGAAAAGATGCTTGCGGATCCGCTTACAAAAGGCTTACCACCCAGTGTGTTCAGAGAACACGTAGCCGGCATGGGTTTAAGGGAAAGCCTAGAATTCCTGGACAATAAGGGCCTAGTTAAGAATCTGTTTCAAAACAGAGAGGTGCATTGTAGCTGTTTAATCTAATGGCAAAAGGCCGTGACGATGAGGCACGCTATATGCACTGATCTGTGATGGAATGGGAACAAGAGAAAGTAAGTAAGTTAAGTTTAAATTATAAGTGAGATCAAGGGAGAGAATGTTAGTTAATCTCCACCAATAGGCCCAACGGTCTATTGGGCCCTTGGATCTGCGTCCTGATCGGGGGCGCCCAACCCTAATATGGTTGGTGGGCCCCCGTCGCACAACGCCATAAATAGGAGGTAGGGGTCGGGGCGCCAGTCACGAGATTCGCCTGAGCCGCCTAGCATCCCACCTACAGTCCTAAACCCTAACCGATCATATAAAGGGCGCTGCCAGCGACGGGAAGCGCCGTCACCGCCTCTGCATCATGCCGGAGGACTGCTACGACGTCGGACTGCCCTGCGACCTCTACACCGACCCTGGACGACACCGCTACTGCACCGCCACCGGGTTATCGCCAAGCACTGCGATGGCGAGCACATCTTCATCCAAGGCGGCCGATGGTTTGCACCCTTTCACCCCTCTCTCATTCTATCTCTAATCCAGTACAAGTAGATGCTTCTAGGACTCATGGTTTAATTTAAAGTGCAAGTAGACATGCTAGATTTATGCCTAGAGATCCTGCTTTAGGTTTAACACAAGCCTCACCCAGCCCTAAAAGTTGAGTCCAGTCATCTACTTATAGAACAAAAAAAGAGACATGATTGTATTTTAATTTACCTTTTACCTCTCCTATGTGATGTAGTAGCCCCACGGGTTGTGTTGCTGCAACTCTATTCTTCCTTCTTGCATTAATCCGGAGAATGACCAAGAGGAGCACGTGAGGGAACAGCTGAACAAAGGAGTTGTACCTGAGGACATTGATGTTCACTGCTTGGCCAACCTGATTAAGGTAGGACATCTGTCAGCTTAAAACAACCATGAAATTATGTTTAAATTAGACATTTAAATTGAACAGGTATAGTTCAGAGAACCGAATCTTCTGTACATTTAAATTGGACAGGCATGCTTCAGGGAACTTCTAGAAGGAGTCCTCGATGGCCTGGAGGCTCATATGAACTGAAACATAGCAATGATTTGTTCCTTGCAGGCTTTTACCATTACAGAGAGGAGACTGGAGGCTCATATGAACTGCAGATTGGACGCTTTTACATCCACAGTCGCTGCCGCTCCCTGTGTGTATCCAGCCCTCGTCAAGAATTCATAAATTAATACGCATCCAATCTAATAGATGATGACGTTTATGGTGGGAGGCAATGCAACCCAACAGGTATCATTTATGTATTCCATGTCATCAAAACATTTAAAAATGTGTACATTCCCCTTCAATCGGTGGCAATGGCCTTTCACGCCATAGGACTAATTTTCATGAAATTGAGGTATTGCACTTAATGTATGTTACTTGTGTTTCTATCTTCAGGCTGCACAGTTTTATTCACTGATATAGTGAAATTCGGTCATGGCCTCATGGGAACTTCATTGTTGTGTTTAAAGTTTTGAACATGATGGGCTCTCGTATGCAGCCTCAGAAAATGAGGATGTAATTGATATTAGAACCAGTACGCATTTTGTGAAGTTTGTACTCTCTTCATTTGGCTTGCAGGTCAAAAGGTCGTTGAGCCAGTTTACTCTCTTCATTTTCCTTTTGCTGGCTCTCTCGCTATATGCATATTAGAGGCGCTGATTATTTCATTATTTGCATGAAGCTCGAGAATGGTGAGCTTTCTCTTTTAACCTTTCTTGTCAGGTATAGCACCATCAGTTCAGTATTACAATATGATATATGTTTGGGAGGAAAAAAAGATGCGTTCTGCAAACCATTTGCCTAACATTCTAGAGTCTGAGCAGGGCTGTTTCATGACCCAATGCATAACTGCAGTGGTGGACTTAAACAATATCCTAAGGGTGCTATTAATGAATTAGAGGGGCCACTAATCATGAAACCATTTAACCATGGATTACTGTATGTTTTTTCTAGAGGTGCTACACATATTGGATATGTGATGTAACTTTGAAATTTAAAGCGACCGTAATCCCTTGTGCACTAGGAGTCCCTTGATTATATATTTACATGTGCTTGTAGTTTGCTCTTTGGGTAGAAACAAACGTGTCAACTTAGCTTGTGAATGGAGAGCACATACAAATAATGATTTCTTAACAGAGTTGGATTTAGACAGAAAAATATAAGAACAAAGGGACTAAGGGAGAGGGAGTTCTTTCTCAGCTTGTAATTTGCCATGAAATCTCCTTTTGGTTTGATTTACATCATGATTTGTCACTGTAGGATTTTTCTTGTTTTAAAAAATTTTGAGCCCCACGAGCACAGGCTTGGTTATGCTCTCAGAAAATACTTTTGAGGTTATTTAGGGTTCTGTTTGATTTATGTATGCTTGTTCTGACAGTGTCTTTATGCTTTATACATGTTTACACAGACATGTTTCGACAAGTGCATTGAGAGAAGGTACAGATATGATCAGCTTATTTTTTAAAATCTATTATTTGTAATCCTGTTGGCACATCCATATTTCTATGTAACATTGAACGTTCTATGATAGTGAAGAAGGATTTATCCTGTTGGCACATCCAAATAATTTAACTAAGCTGCAACACATTACACCTCAAGCTTGGAACTTCTCATGGCATGATAATTGATAGTCAAGAAGGATTTATCCTCTGTGAGACCGAACTATAATTTTTTCCCCCGTTGATTCGTTTTGTTTCAGGTATAAACAAGCTGAGCTCAATATGGGTGACAATAGTTGCATTGACCGATGCGTTTCAAAGTATTGGCAACCATGTTTGTTGATACCCTTTCTCTTTGGCCTTTGTGGATTCATTTTTATGCTTATTCCTAGACTATGGAGTATTGGCAAGCATGTTTGTTGATACCCTTTCTCAAGAGATGATGATACACTTAAAGATGTGGGCTACTTGAATCTGTGAAAGTTGATTTCACATATTTTTCCTTTCATAGTTATAATTTTGTGCGTATCTGAAAAAGTTACTTAATGTGGTCTGTAGCGTTAGCACAGGCAATATAAATATGAAGTTACGATGACAAGAATCCTGGTGGTCAGTTTTCCACCCTTTGTTGCATATAATTGCATGTTCAGTGCCTCGGATGAGAAAGATTATTCAAGTTTGAATATTTAGAATAATTTTGCTATAAGACTTTTCAGTTGTCTGAATGTTCAGAGCATTTGGAACTCTGAATAACCAATGTGTATGAATATATGGTCCTGTGTTTCGTATTTCTTCACGTGACGAAAATGTTTGTTTTTTTTGTAACCTCAAGTTTTATAAATTTTATCTTATTTTCTATTTTATACATAGTCATATAGAATTATGTGAAACTTAAATTATAGAAAAAATATCGTCGTTTCATTGTTTTAATGTGATCCGAAATGAGATCGTGGGGTTAGCACGGGCTCATTTTTGTCTGTCTCTCTCTCACCGCTCACTATATAGACTCCATTCTGGGCCGGAGATTCTGGAACTGGGCTGGCGTGCGCGAACGGGACGAGCCCGGTCTTCTCGAGCACCTGCCGTTGTTCCATCAGAGAGAGAGGTCGGGGCCGTAGGAGAAGCACCGAAGCAGGGCTGACAGGGTTGCTTCTGCGGCGCAAGGACGAGCCGCCGAGAGGACTAGGGTTTAGCCATGGCGGCCGAGGACCAGACTCCTTGTACCAAGCCCCGCCCCGACAAGGCAAAGAAGCGGAAGAAGCCCAAGAGGGACAAGTGGGGCCAGCCTATCGCCGCCGCCGCCGCTGAGGAGCCGTCGGTGGAGCCGGAAAAAGAGCACCCGGCGGTGGAAGTTGAGGCGGCGGTACAGGTGGAGAAGGCGGCGGAGGAGGAGGCGACTGCGGCGGCGGAGGGCTATGAGCCCGGCAAGGTGGTGGCGAGCGGCTTGCCCTACACGACCACCGAGGCGGACATCCGGAAGCTGTTCGAGTTCTACGGGCCCCTCCAGTCGGTGCAGCTCTCTCGCTTCCCGGACTCCGGCAACTTCCGCGGCCTCGCCTTCATCTGCTTCGAGGTCCATACCCACCACACTTTCTTCTGTAGGCATCACATTAAATTACTTCCCGCAGTACTGCTTTCTTCTTGATGCTGAAGTGGTAATTTCAGTGGTGGTAGGGTAAGAATTTGTTCAAGTTGCCATACAAACCAGAAATGTGTGATGATTACTGGATGTTGCTGAAGTGCTTTGCTATGCTGCCATGGTCGACTAGGATTCTGCTCTTATCGGGGATAACTTTTTTTAGAATTATAGGGCCAAGCCCCTGCCTTAATCAAGACAGACAAAGTTTACAACATCCAGGTGGATCTCACCTTCCTGCCATACCCCAACAAACAGATTAAATAAAAATAAACCAGCTAGTAAACCAAGCACAAAACAAACTCCAACTCCCTCACATCTCCCAAGAAACACCAAATTCAACCATTTCCCAGATTCAACCGCCTCCTCAACAGATAAACTGCTGGACAGAAACTCTTCCGCTTCAGCCGACAATGTCTTATCCTTCCAGTTCATAGCATTCAAGAATAGAAATTTTCTCCCAATGGTGTACGCAGCAAGCTATCGGGGATAACTTTTTTTTGACGCAAGCCGGGGATGACTTTTTGATGGCATGCTCGATTGATTCGGTTAATTGTAGTAGTATAATCTTTGGTTTTGTTGAGTTCCTGATCCAGGGATCCTCTATTGTAGTCCTTCAGTTTAAATGTGTCGGTGTTTTGGACCGAGGGGTCCTCAACCGACTAGTGAAAGTATACTGCGTGTTCCTAATCCCGGATGGTGATGCAAAGAGACACAAGGTTTATACTGGTTCAGGCAATAGGTGCCCTACGTCCAGTCTGAGGGAGTGATCTTGTATTCCTTGCACCGATGTGCTTGTAGTAGGGGCTTACAAGCTGGGCGAGAGAGGGAGCTAGCCCTAGGTCTCTGTGAATTGCAGCGCGTGTTGCTTGAGATGCTGATCTCTTGCAGTGATGGAGTGTGCGTGTTACAGAGTGTTGTGCGTGGCTTGCACCGGTTGTGTCTTCTTTTGTTTTTACGGGTCGCCTCCTCCCTAGGAGCGGCCCTGGTCGCTCCCTTTTATAGTCGAAGGGAGGCACAGGGGCGGTACATGTATTTGCTACGTGGCGTTCTTCTTGGTAGAGGCGGCATGTCCGAGCCCTGCAGCTTGTCACTGTGGCGGTATGGTCGGTGGAGCGGTTTTGTCTTTGGTGCACTGGAGCGATGCGCCGGTCACGCCCGATCCTGTGCGACGTGGGAGCTCCTGTGGTGGCCCGGCAGGCGCACCTTCTTCTGTTGGAGACGTGCTGGTCACTGTATGTTTGACCGGCGCGGAGTGTCGAGACCGGGTTGATGCGATGGCGTGGGTATGCTGATTCCGAGGCTACAGGAGCTAGGCCCTGTGCACGACGTGGGAGCTCCTGCAGCCCGACGCAGGGCATGGCGCGTACTGCGGGCGGCGTGCTGGTCCCAGAGCGCTGACAACGTAGAGAGCCGAGGCCCATTTCGATGCAGAGGCTGGACCGTCGTGGGGGGCTCGGCGGGCGCGAGTCCTGAGGCTACAGGAGCCCGGGAGCGGTTAGCCGAGGCTCAGAGAGAGCAATTGGCCTTGCACGTCGTTTTCGAGGCTACAGGGACCCGGACGTGACTTTCCACGCCGCGCTGTCCTTGGAGCAGGGGTTAGGTAGCACAGCGTAGCACGGGTGTCAGCCGTGGGCACAGTGCCGCGCACAGCGGCCGGTAACCCCCGCCCCGTCCTGTCCCGGATGGCATGGGGTCGATGTGACTTCCGTCTCGTCGGCCACTCCGTTGTACCGTGCCGTCGTGCGGCTGATGTCGTGGGAGTGGTTGAACGTGTTAGTTGGATGTGACGTCTCGTCAGGGAAGTTGGTCAAGGCGGCGGTGACGGAGTTGATGCCGAGCCGGCCTCGAGTGAGTCGGTAACTGGGTACTCGCCCGAGGCCTCGTGGCGCGGGGCCCCGGGCGAGTCGGAGAATCGGTACCTCGCCCGAGGCCTTGCGGTGTGGGGCCTCGGGCGAGCCGGAGAATCAGTACCTCGTCCGAGGCCATGCGGTGTGGGGCCTCGGTCGAGCCCGGATATTTGTTCGAGGTGGGCCAGGCGGTCCAGCCGGGCCTCGGATGTGGCGGGTTTGCCTGCGGTTGTATTTTGGTTTCGTTATTTACAAGGTCTAAACCATTTTTTAGGTTCTTGCTTAGGGTACCACTTTTTATGGCATCCGACACTATGCAGCAAAGATCTATGTATGTGATGGCTGAATTGGAAGATTGCAAAGCTTATGAATTCCAGAACCCCTGTTATCATATTTTCCATCTGTACCGGTACTTACATTAGTCTTTTTATTACTGGTCCTGGGAGATGAATATGGTTAGTATCTATAAATAAATAGAGCTCAAAGCTAAGAAACTTGAAAAGTTGGATCTTGCGATGTCTGCTATTTCTTGTTATCTTTGACAAATCTGATTTTGTTCCATTCTATCATTGCAGTCAGAAGAAGATGCAATAAAGTCTCTTGAGCTTGATGGATTCAAAATGTAAGCTTGCTAGCATGCATATATCGATTTCTCTTGCACGTTGGCCAAAATCGTTTTTCACTAATGTACTCTGTATATATGACATGTACAGTGGCCTCAGATATATGAGGGTTGAAAGGTGCAGGGTGACGGCCACCTCAAATAAGAAAAGGAAGGCAGAGTTCCAAACCGATCCCAAGAAGTCCAAAGGCTGCCTCTCGGCTTATGTTGGCAATCTCTCATGGAATGTCACTGAAAAGGACTTGCGAGATTTCTTCAGATCATCGAAGATTGCATCAGTAAGATTCGCCATCGACAAAAGAACCGGAGGTTCTCGCGGCTTCTGTCATGTCGATTTTCAAGACGACGAATCGCTCGAGAGAGCCGTAGCGATGAATCAGTCTGAACTGCAGGGTAGGCCTGTCAAAGTCGCATATTCAGTCAGTAACAGGGGCTGAATAGTGATGATTATCCGTCACCAGTGGTTTGTACCAGTGAGCTTGTAGTGTTGTGGTTTGGCTCCCTCAGTTTTGGCTAAGCTTTTCGCCGCTTGAAACAAGATTTTTGAAATGAAATCCATGATGCCAATTCTTGCACGGAACATATGGCAAATGTAACCCTTTTGTAACAAGTACGAGTTTCGTAAACCTGCATCTCTTGGTTTTGTTCCTGAATGAATGTTTTTGCCAGGTGCTGTACTTGGGCCTGTTCATTTGGTTGGGTCTTTGGTCTTTGGTTTGGCCTTTGGTGGTCTTTGGTTTTCTGTGAGAGAAAAACACCGCTGGTTGTGGCTTGGTTTAAATTTGGTTGAAAAGCAAATGTTTAATGGTACTTTGCTTTGCAGCAGCAGGACATGCGAGGGCCCATGTGGCGGAGCTTGGGCCGGTTCTAGCTAGCTAGAGACTAACATATACATTGTAGTTGTAATATATAAGCAATTTTATCTCTCCTCTTAAAATGAAGAAGGAGCTGATGAAACTATTGTTTTTTTTTTTCTTCACCTGCTCCAGTTCCTCCGTGCACTATATCAAGGTACTGGGGCCGCCTATATGTTCTAGTGAGCCTATGGTAATGAAACCAACTAACCAATCCATACATTTGGAACACGCCCTTGTGCTGGTCCATTTGGAAGGCCATGACTAAGGCGTGCTTCCAGCATATGATGGAATTGGGATCACTGATCAGGGTGGGGTGGTCGGTGTTCCATTCACCGTTGGATCTAGAGATGGCGAGCAGGCTCCATTCCAACCTGATCGGCTTTCAGTAGGACTGAAGGAACGTTCTCTGGTCCAAGCGGAGAGGCCCATTTGCAGGTGTCGCCGTCGCCGCCCTGCTCTCCTCCGGCGATCATCGCCGACGGCTGACGTCCTGTAACAGCTCTCGACAATCTCATTGTACTGTACTCGTCTGCAGGGGACGCCAACCTGGGACACTTCACACCTGTGCTGCTGCCGGCCGAATTGCTCCTTGAAGTTTGTATGTACGCTGTGACCTGTTGGGCATCATTGCGTTTGCCCGATCTGAGCAAAGAAACAAAGGTGCGCGACGAAGACTCGGCACATCATAATGCTGGAGTGCACGGCCGGCAACCCTCGTTCGACGGCACGAGCGGGTCACGGTCATTTGACGAGTGATGACCCACGACAGAGCGATGTGCTGCGCTGCTTGCTGTTGCTGTTGCTGGCCCATTTGGATGGCCAGGCGTGCCGCGTGCGTGCCTAGGACCAGGCGGCGGCGGCGGAAGCTCTCCGGCGTTCTCAGGGCCGGCCGGAAGAACACACATCACACATCCACACGGGCAGGCATGCCAGTGCTCTGGTAGCCTTGTGGTATGTAGTGTAACTGTGTAAGCACATTCCCCCTTAGGCCCTTTGCATATCTTTTACACAAGAAGAATAACGGAAGACATGTTTACAGACAGCGGAGGACCGCACGTACTAGACGATGAAAGTAAACTGCACATGCAGTACGCGATTGGCCCATCATTTTTTCTGGTGGTGGTGGCTGGGGCTGACTCAGAACCACCAACTCAATGCCCCGCACCGGCACCGTCAGCGACCAGAGGCAGGCAGGCTTGCTTTAGAGGTTCCTGACAAGATCATGTGGGAAGGAAGCGAGATGCCCGTGACTGACGTGTTTATATTTATGCCTCCCACACGCGGCCGGGACGACGCGACGCGATCCATGGATCCATCGATCGGTGATCGGGAGATGGATGGATGGATGGACCTGCACGCCACAACGCCATGCAGCAGTACACCCCATGTTCTCGCTTCCTTGCGGAATCAAGTGAAATCTCCGCAACTTCCCCACCAAGACCACAGCGGCCGATGCCCCGATCTGTCAGGTTCAGCAGTCAGCACGCTGCACAGGCAGTGCGGCTGTGCCCTGTGAAAACCCGGGGATGTTCCCTGCTGTAAGTGACGAGCAGTATTACCGAGCTTGTTCGGCTGGTATTAAAGCGGGCTGATAAGCCGGCTGAAACTAATTTATTATGAGAGAAAAATACTATAGAGCCGACTGATAAGTTCAAGCGAACAGGAAAGTAGGGCTCTGCGTCTCCTCACTGTCATTGATTGCCGGCCGGTCGCAGCTAGATCCATCGATCTACATCTCTAACACTAAATGATTGATCCCAGCTCGAGGGGCGAGACGCCACGCCACGCCACGGCCCGGCGCCGTCGCTGTCTGCCCGCCTCGGCCCCGCTTCGCACTCGGTGCCGCGGCCTCCCGCTCCGACCAAAGAATCCATTCGGCCACGGACCCTGTTGTCCCGTGTCCGTCCGTCCGCTCGGGTTCCCGATCCACGTCCGTGGCACCATTTGCAGCGGCGCGACGCGTCCACGTCGGGTGCAGCTAGCTCGGTGCGTCGTGCGGGCCCGTCTCAGGTTCTCCCTATCCGTGCGTCGTGTCCGCGTCCGCCGGCCCACGCGCCAACAGTCTTGGCAACTGGCGCCCAGTGCGCCCCCGTACTCCCCCCGTCCCGTCCCGTCCCGTCCCTATTCCCTTGGCGGCACGTCCACCAACACCAACAGCAGGCGCCAGGCGGGGCCGTCCGGACGGCGTCGCGGAGCCTTGGCGCTAGCTGTGCCGTCCCGCTGAAGACCGGAGGAGTGAGTGGTCACCGCACAGGCCGCCCGGGCTAGTAGCACTAGCAGATCGTGCCGTGGGTTTCCAGAAGCGAAGCTGCATGACGAGATCACGATTCACATCTCTTGGCAGCTGCGCTGCGACGATCAAGATCTGAGCAAGTGTGTGCGACAATGCAAAGAGAAAAGGAAAGGGTCAAGATCTGCGACTTGTACGCAATTATATATATATTAGTATTCGCGTTTCGTGATTTGTTCCCCATCTGTGAAGATGCCATCATGCCGCTATGCTTGCTATGCAAACTTTCTTTTTGTTTCAGTCTCTCTTTATGTAGGGAGTATGCAACCGCCCGCGAGCCCACTCGGTCCGCCCCACTACGCTTGATGAAGCATGGAGACGGGTCCTGTTTGTTTCCCTTCTATATACATGTAGCCTGCATCAGCCATGCCTCCTCTAGTTAGGCTGTGGTGATACAGATCATTGTTATTTGGTTGTCTTGATCTGCAGCGCCATGATGCATACAACAGTTCTATTAATTGCTTAGATCTACGCTTGCAACATACATCGTCATGCTCTCAAGCGCACGCTCACACTACCTCAATGAGCCAGGCTACCCAAAAACACCTGCCTGCCAGGTTGCATTGTGAGGTGTCAGTTGCACGTGCCGGGCCAGACCTAGGGTTTTCGTTAAAGATGCAAGAGCAGGACCGGTTGTTCACGAACCCGCAAATATATTAAGAGTTATCTTTTTTTTGAGCAATATATCCTGCAAAATTAAACTTATTTGAGGGTTCATGGACAACCCAAGTTGCATCTCTAGTTTTCATACATGATTTATGACCATGAAGATATTAGAGGACAAATAAAAAAGGCGAATGTAGAAGAAAACTTGAGGATCAGAGGTCTATGTAGTTGGTAGAGTTTTCCACGAACGTAGATAAATAGTTGTATGTAGTAGGGTCAAATGCATGAAAGAAAACTAGGTGGACATAGGATCCAAAACCCCTCCCATAAACCTCTAATGTTGATGGTTGACGCGTGGCACCCGACGCACTTGGAGGCTAGAGCCGAGGAGGCCAGGACCAACATGCAAGGAGCTAGGTGCTGCGAATGACCTGTCCCTTTATATCGGACGTGTGATTTGGTCGTCTAACCACACGTCAACGATCAGTAATAGAGGGTAGGGGAGACGGACAGTCCCACACTTACATCCTTATAGCATCTCTAAGGGACTTTCTATATTTAAAGCACCCCTAGAGATTTGCCATATAGTTTTTTATCACAATTGTTTTAAAAAAGTTTGGAATAGATTGTCTAGACCACTCACTATCTTTCGCTACTATGTAAAACCATCCTTCTTCTCTTTATTAATGCAGAGGTTGTGAGCTCTCTAAATTCAATATATGATAGTTCTTATACAAGAAAAATTACGACAACTTATTGAACCGGATAGAACAAAATTTAGAGAGTTTGTTAGAGTCACAAAAAGAGATACATAAGAAGTATTAACGAAATGGCTCTAAATAATAGGAAAACACGAAAATTAAAAAAACAGGTCCTGTATTAGATCTAAACGTTTAGAGACAGAAATTTAGGGAGACTCTTTGGATTAGCGTATAAGAAGCCTTTGGCTTTTCTTTCCTGTTCGATTCGATGTGTTTCTTAAAGCGTGTGGAAAACGCAACATCCAGCGATGCGACGAAGCGGCGACTCCTTGGTGTCAGTACCAGTGGTACCACTTGGGCAGCGATGAGAAGATCTGATGCACGTGTAAGCCTGTGGACGCAAGCAGCAGCTATCATTAGGATCGGATTAAAAACCCCTATAAATTCTCCACCAAACAAAAGAACAAAAACGGAAGGGAGACGATCCATGAGGCACTTCTTTACGAACATAAATTTCCATTTTCGTTTGGCTGTGGCTTATAGTAAATGATCGTAAATTTTTAGTCGGAACAGTATTTTTCTCTCACATAAACCAACTAGCAGTATTTTTTCACGAACCAGCAACGAAACGAATCAGCGAACCGAACATGCTCAAACAAAACTACAAAAGCAAGCCTTGTTCTCGAAATAAAACAGAAAGCCGAGGGTGGATGGAGTAAAAAAAGCGAGTAGTAGAAATAACTCCCCGAGGCCGAGGCGAGCAAGAGGAGAAGGAGGAGAGAGAAAAAGCGCGGGGGCGCGAACGGAAGCCTTAGTTATCCACCCACCCCGTCGCACTCGCACCGCATCCCCTCGACCCCGATCCCCAATTCCCATTCTCCACGACCCCCGCCCATGGATCACCACCTCACGCCGACGCCGCCGTCGCCGATGGAGAACTCGGCGGCGGGGCCGTCCTCGAAGCCGCCGACGCCGGCGTCCACGCCCAACTCGCGCCTCGCCTCGGCGCCGTCCTCCCGCCACTCCGCCACGCCGACGCACGCGTCCGCGCCGGCGTCCGCCCCGACGCCGGCCTCCCGCACCGTCTACAGCGACCGCTTCATCCCCAGCCGCACCGGATCCAACCTCGCGCTCTTCGACCTCGCCCCCTCGCCCTCCGCCGCATCCTCCCACGAAGGCGGCCCCGGGGCCTCGTCCGGATCTGCGCCCGCCGCGTCGCCCTACTGCACGCTCCTCCGCGCCGCGCTCTTCGGTCCCGACACGCCCGACCGGGTTGCGTCCTCGGCCACCGCGTGCTCGTCGTCCTCCTCCCCGGGGCCCTCGCCTGTGGGCAACCCCGCCACCGGGAACATCTTCAGATTCAAGACGGAGGTGCGCCGGAGCGCCAAGAGGGCTCTTTTTTTGGGAGAGGAAGAGGAGGACGCGCTGTTCCCCGGCATTTTCACCACGAGGGGCGCAGGACCAAGGAAGGTCCCAAGGTCGCCCTACAAGGTGAGAAGGGGAATTGGATTTGGTGCTTTCTTGATTGGGCCTTCCATGTTTCTTGATTTAGGTTTCTTGGGTTCTGTTTCTTGAGCTAGCCTCGCTGCTTCTTGGGGGCGTGAAAGATTTGACATCTAGCCAATTGCATTCCGAAATGCTGAAAGAGACGTTTTTTCACGAACATAATGCGAAATTTGTAGACTTCGTGCCATCAATTTTGTGTCTTTGCGCTATTAAATTTTCTTGCTGTTGCTTGTAGGTGCTGGATGCGCCCGCTTTGCAGGACGACTTCTACCTCAACCTCGTCGATTGGTCTTCACATAATGTCCTCGCTGTTGGGTTGGGCAATTGCGTTTACTTGTGGAATGCATGCAGCAGCAAGGTAAGCAACCGTGGTCATCCTTAAGGTATATCGTCACTGAGAATTGAAGATGGATTGTTAACAGATTTATTTATCATTGTATAGGTCACCAAGCTTTGTGATTTGGGGGTGGATGACAATGTTTGTTCTGTGGGGTGGGCGCAGCGTGGCACTCACCTAGCTGTAGGCACAAATCAAGGAAAAGTTCAGGTTATGTCCCGTTCTTACCTTGAATATTGTTATTTGATATGTTCACAATCCGTTAAGTGTTGGATGATATCTAAATCCCTTTTAGTGCAATGTATCATCAAGAATTACAGCTGTATGCAGCACATGGAATAAATTTGACAATTTTGCAAAACCAGCTCAGGTGTAGACAATGTGCCTTTTAGCACTTAGTATATTGATTTATTTATTATGGTAGTCTACCCTATTGATTGTACTCGATTGACACAAAAACCTTCTGTGTAAAACCTTAATAGTTTTATACTTTATGGAAAACCTTAACAATTGTAAATGCCATTCTTCTATATGCTCAAACCGCAAACTCGAATCAATTTTATCCGGTTTTGCTCTTGATTTAGAACCACCCTTATTCCTGTAGGGAATCAATTTATAAATTCGTAGAAAGTCAAATGATCACTCTGTTTGCCATCTGCATTGGTATGTAAAATTGTTACTTTATGAGTATCTGCAAATCTGATTATCATGTTACATTTTATCTTATGTAGATCTGGGATGCAACTCGTTGTAAAAGAATAAGAACAATGGAAAGCCATCGCATGCGTGTAGGTGCTCTTGCATGGAGTTCTTCATTGCTTTCTTCTGGAAGCCGTGACAAGAGCATCCTCCACCATGATATCCGTGCTCAAGAAGATTATGTTAGCAAGCTTACCGGGCATAAATCTGAGGTAATCTATTCATGTCTCCTTATAATATTACTTTTTTTATATGTATTAGTGCATCAAATTTCTGATGATCTGGCAAGTATATTCATTATCCTAGTGAAGCTTCAGTTTTCTATTTCGGTAACGCATGGATTCCTAATCTCACATATCTTCCAGGTTTGTGGACTCAAGTGGTCTTACGACAATCGTCAGCTTGCATCAGGTGGCAATGATAACAGAGTAAGATGCCTGTCCATATATTCCTGTTAGTTTGGAATGCATTGTTCTTAGGATTCCACATTGCTGTTTTCCCATACTAATATTTCCCCTTTGTCCAGCTTTTTGTTTGGAATCCACATTCAGTACAACCAGTACTGAAGTATACGGAGCACACAGCAGCTGTCAAAGCTATTGCCTGGTCACCTCATCTCCATGGCCTGCTTGCATCTGGTGGAGGAACCGCAGATAGATGCATACGATTTTGGAATACGACCACAAATACACACTTGAGCTGTGTGGACACTGGAAGCCAGGTAGCGTTTTCAATGTGTCAATACCTGCAATCCTTGTTTATCTCTCTTCTCATCATTACAAAAATTGCAATCATTGAGCTGTGTGGACACTGGCACCTAGGTAGTTTTCAATGTGTTAATACCTGCAATCCTTGTTTATCTCTCTTCTCATCATTACAAAAATTCATTTTCTGAAGAGTATATCACATTAGTCCATTTGTAACTGTAAGAAATAGAAGAAAAATATTAGACTCCATAGCATTGAGGACTTGAGGTTTAAATTGCCAACTAAAATTTAAGTTTTAACCAATATATGCTAGAAGCCAAAGTTGCACTGTGAAATATCCAAATAGAGGAAAACCACAACAATGACAACAACAAAGCCTTTTAGTCCCAAGCAAGTAGGGGTAGGCTAGAGCTGAAGCCCACAACATGCAGCACCAAGGAAAAGAAAGTGAAAATGAAAAAAATATATATAATGCATCAATAATAGAAACAGAAAGGGAATTAACCAAAAAGAAGAAAGCTCCTAGACATATTTGCTTTCACTTTTGATTCTGCTTGAGATGTTCACAGACCTCTCAGACCACTGTGTAGGCAGGCAAATTTTTGTATAAAATTAGGGGAGGGTAGGATTGAACATCTTGTTTGCTTTCAAATACTAAGGATGCTAAATGACTTTGACAGGTCTGCAATCTTGTGTGGTCAAAGAATGTAAATGAGCTTGTTAGCACCCACGGGTACTCTCAAAACCAAATAATTGTTTGGAGATATCCAACAATGTCGAAGGTATGGTGCAAGATTATTATTCTGAAATTATGCTATACTTGCTTGCTTGTATTAATTCCATTCCCCTTTGGTATTTGCAGCTTGCCACTTTGACAGGGCATACATACAGAGTATTGTATTTAGCTATTTCCCCTGATGGCCAGGTGAGTCTTGGTGATCTGGTTCTGAGTTCTGTTTAATATACCTAGCATGTTTGTTCTCACTGCCTTTCCACTGTTGATATCAACAGACCATAGTTACTGGTGCTGGTGACGAAACACTCCGGTTTTGGAACGTGTTCCCCTCTCCAAAGTCCCAGGTACATCATTTGTTATCTCATTTCGTTGTGTATGTTATCTCATTTCTCATATAGCTTCCTAAGCTTGGTTCATGTTTGTCTTGCAGAGTTCTGATAGTTTAAGTTGCATCGGGGGAACATCATTTGTTAGAAGCTACATCCGGTGACACAGAAATGTAGCTTTGCTGAGCTCGTAAGATTATTGCAGCATATGTGGGGCAGCATATGTTGATGATCATCAACATCATTCCATTTGCAACAACCATGTCACCAGGTCATCAACCATCAAAGGTAGCCGAATTTTTTAGATGGCACGATGCAATATGGTGAACTGGCCTGTGAGAATCCGGGCATGGCTCTTTTGCTGAGAGTGTACATATTTATCAGAGCAACGGTCTTGTAGGAGCGAACACATTGTTCCAACTGATAAGAATACGCCCTTTCATTTTTGCTCCTTTTGCGGCTCAATCCTCGACCCGAGCTGTTTCTGTAGTGTGCTAGCAGTTAACCTATTCGAAACATTTACTGACCTGTGACGCCCATTTCATCCATGTGGGCACGGTGTAAAATGAGAACACTTCTGGTTCCAGATTCTTTCCCAATGTCTTCAAAAGGAGGGCTGATTTTTGCCCTGAATTGGCTTGTTTCACAATAAGAGAATCAATAACGTGTGTTCATTGTTTATTGATATATGGATACCAAGACAATGCTGAACTTTCTGCATATTTTGTCACATGACTTATCTTTGTTGTGAAGTGATATCCAGCTAGGCTTAAAAAAAGAGGATCCAACACGCCAGCATTGCTAATGCTTACGTCATGTATCGTTTCATTGTCACTTCTTTGCAACCTATGATTGGAGGCAATTATTGATGGCTCTATCATAGGTCCTACAAGAACTAGATAAGGCCTGGGCAGCCAATGTTGAAAATTGTGCAGTGCCTGACAAGGTTTTGGCTTCACTAGTTCACGACCACAACCAAAATTGGGGAAATGTTTTGTCTTCTACACTAGTTCACAACCACAACCAAAATTGGGGGAAGGATTCATCAGATTAGAGTTGCCTCGGCTGCAGGCAGAGAAAACAGGATGCAGCGAAACAGAGAACAACAGCAGCAATCCTCATGTACGGCCTGGAACATTTGGAAAGAGCGTAATCGAAGAACCTTTGAAGGATCGGCGCAATCGCCACTACAGGTGCTGAGCCTAATCAAAGAAGAAATAGGACTCGTCACAAGAGCTACCGGGTGTCCTGTTCTAACCCAATGATTTTACTTCGTTTTCTGTGCCTGTGTCTGTATGTATCTTCTTATATGTAATCTCGGTTTGTAAAACATCAAATTGCTCTTCTTCTTCATTAACGCAAAAATTGCTCAATATGATATAGCAGCGCTCCGGCTAATTTTTCAAAAAAGAAAAGAAAAGAAAAGAAAACAGATTCTGTATTTGGAGCCACCGCAGACATCTCTCATCAGATCAGAGTTGCCTCGACTGCAGGCAGAAAAAACAGATTCTGTATTTGTAGCCACCACAGACATATCTCATCAGATCAGAGTTGCCTCGGCAGGCAGAGAAAACAGATTCTGTGTATGGAGCCGCCACAGACATCTCTCGGCAGGCAGAGAGAACAGATTCTGTGTTTGTAGCCACCAGAGACGTCCCTCATCAGATCAGAGCTGCCTTGGCAGGCAGAAAAAAACAGTTTCTGTGTTTGGAGCCACTACAGACATTTCTTCATGTGCATCCTTTTGCTTGACGCTAGGGTGAAACTTACTGTCGCAGCTACTCCCAGAACAACCGACTCTGAAAGCACCTGCAGTTGAACCCCAATCACCAACTCTCTAGTCAGTCGCCACGGCGTATAACCATTAACAATAATAAGGATATGCTCTGAAGTCTGCTTGGTTCTGGTCCGACGTCGCGGTCGGATGGCAGTGGCACGGACCTCCTCTTGGAAAGGCAACACGGAAATGGAGTTTATCTGGGTTAGCTGCTAGGTTTCTCCGTTCCTGAGGTAACCACCGTAGTACTTGCGGGTTTGGAAGCGATGGAGAGCACAGACGACAGCACAGTGCTCAACTAACAATATCCCATGGCTCATGGCGGCCATTGCCCCATGCATTGGCTAGCTTTCTCGTTCAGTCTTGAGAGACATCGCCGGGCCGAACTGGACTGGACCACCAGGAAAACTACGGGAGCAAGCCCCCTCTCATCAGCAATCAACTCGTGTTAACGATCGAACGCATGATTGAGTTGAGCGACCGTCAGAAACGAGTCGATGTTTTCTCTAGCTGCCCGGCGATGGAAGGGAAGGAAGCGTCGTCCCTACCGCCTTTTGACTCTGCCGTCAGGCAGGCGTCAGAGACGAACAGTACCGACGACAGCACAGTGCTCAACGAAATATCCTTCTCCTCTTTCAGATTCAGTGTCCGGCTCTGGTTCTCTTGCTATGAAACATGACTGTCAACGAACAGTACCCATAGCCGATCACGCTGATGTGTTCCGAGTGGTCTTGTCAGTAACCTGCCAGTAAGGAGAGGAAGCTGCAGCGAAAACGCCTGGAAGCACCAAGCAAGCAGCCGTGCTAGGAGTGTCCAGTGTCCAATTGTCTCTGGGCCGACGTGACAAGGTGCTGAGGGGAGGCTAAAGGCCCAGAAGGAGTGGACAGATGGAGTAGCGTCGAAGCCCGGCAAGAGGAGGAGGACTGACTGACTCCCAAAAAGAAGGATTGGTTGGGGCCGCCCGGGAGAGCTTGCCAATGGCAGGAAGCCAGGAAGGATGGATGGAAGAGTGGAGGTCGAGGGACGGACGGATAATGGCTGTAGGTGGACCAACCAAGCGATTGGGACACCTATACTCCTCCCCAACAGACGCCTCTCTCTCACCAACCGGAATTATTTATTTCTCCACAATCTTGGGTGCCCCTTCCTTGGCTCTCGGCCGGGGCCTCCCAATCCCAACCCAGACGCGTCCACGCACAAGACGCTAATTTTTTTCCCAAGAACGACTTGCCGCTAGCGTTGTGTGTACCCACTGATCAATTTCCTGCAGAAGCAGAAGCAGCTGTGTGCGTTTGTTTACACTTTACACCAGGTCAACAAAGTGGTCGCGAGATGCTGTGATTGTCAAAGCAAGCAAAGAACCAGAGACATCTGACTCCGGACGCTGCGCATCTTTCCTTTTATTTTTCTATTCATGTTGAATGAACTTGTAGCTGCGATCGATCTGTTGAATGAAGGAACCTGCAAGTGACAGTCTAACAGACCAAGTACCGCATGAAGCAGTTGCCGTACCAAATGGAGGCTCTGCACTGCACGGCAGCCATCCCTTGCTCGCTGAAGCTATCTGGATGAAGAAAAACAAAATAACCACAACCCGTGCGTGTGCGTGCCACGTCCTCTGTTCTTTCATGCCCTTTGCCTTTAAAAAAACTTGGCTTTTCGCAAAGCTTCAGGTCCAGTGTCCTACTACGAAAAAGAAGAAGGCTCTCTTCTTTGCCTCGCACAGACTACTGCCTACTGCCATGCATGCATATGATGCATTGCTCCAAAGCCCAGCGCTTGCCCGGCTTTGTTCTCCGTCTTTCTGACCCTTTTCGGCACGCTTGCGTATAGTGTAGGGATGTAGCGGTACTCGCTAACGACTAACCACTTGGACAGGTCCCCCGTTGTTGTCGTCTACCTGCAGCCACTGAGCCACTCCCACTCTGCATGCACTTGTGACTTGTGCACGAGCACCATACATACTACTAGTAGTAGTAGCTAGTATATGTAGCAGGTGTAGCTAGGTTTCTCGATCGGTCCAGACTTTGAGAGCTACGCATGTGTTTGGATGAATGAATCCTGGAAAAAAAGCTCAAGTTTCCTACTCACGACTCTTGAGATGTTTACGTCCAGAAGAGTGCACGAAAGGCAATAATGTCCCAACTCCCAACAGCACCACAGCCTGTGTGTGCTGCCTGCGAAATAGTCCTACTGAAGTAGAAATGGAGTAGAATCGCAAAGGTTCAGTCACATTCAGAGAAACAAAAAACAGAAGAGCTGCTTCTGCTTTGTGGATGATGGAATCGATCGGGAGCTGATCGAGCTTTTCATGATTTCATCACTTGGGTGAGGCTAGCGCTCGCTTGCACGTCGTACGGCCCTGGCGACGACGTGAGGAACGCCTAGTACACGGTACGCGTGTCCCGCGAGGGGAGAGCCGGTGATGAGTTTAGCCGATGATCATTTGTCTGTGTTCCATGCATGGTTTGCAGCGGAGACGACGAGACGTCATATACACATGTGGGCATGTGGCTGCCGCACGCATGACCCTGCCGACGTGTATGTACAGGCGCGAGCCCGGTGATTCCGTCCGGGCCGTGGCGTGCGTGCGGCGGCACCGACAGGCCGCGGTCGCGACAGCTGTGGCGTGCCGGGGGCCCGGGGCTGGCGCGCACCGCGTCGCTGTCGCGGAACTCCAACGACCAACCCTACCCCAACGCGTCGCGGCCCCCGGCGGGGCGGGGGCTAACCACCGCGCCCGTGTCCGTGTGTGGACCAGCCAGCCAGCCAGCCAGCCGCTACCAGCCGAGGAACCCAAGCTCGGTGCCGCCCGCCGACCGCGCGTGCCCCGCTTGGGCCTGATGGCCTCCAGTCTCCAGTCTCCAGCCTCCAGCCTCCAGACCCGAGACGCCCCCAGCCTGGCGAATATAGCCTCGTACTTTGCCGATTCGGTCGATCGCTCGCTTCCGGTCACGACTGGATTGCTCTGCTGCTCAGTTTGTGCAGTTGCAGGCGGCAGGCCTGCCACAGTGCAGCTAGCTTTCCAGCTCCGCAAGGACGTCCTACCCTACCACTGTACAGTGCCTGCCTCGTTCTCTCGTGCACACACACTTCAGACTTCACGGCTTTGTATGCTCATGCTCAACGTGACTCCGGCCGTGGCAGTGGTTAAGTCCTCTCCTGCCTCGCGGGCGCCCATTCCGCTGCACAGTCGCCATTAGGGCACTCACAATACAGACTCTACCCATAGAGTCTTAACATCAAAGACTTCATCACAAGAAACCATGCTCCCCAATGCAAAGTTTGTAATAGTAGTTTCTAGAGATAAAATAATTTATTATGCAGCACAAACAAAGCTGATCAGCTGTGGCATACTACATGTGATCCACCCTACACCTCACTGCA